GTGTGTGTGTGTGTGTGTGTGTGTGTGTGGTGGGGTATTATTATTTTCCAGGCACATAGTTCAATCCTATACAACAATCTAATAACAGTTGTTATAATTAAAATGCTGTATATATTGAAATCTAAACTTTGTTTCCAACACTTCCACTTCAGCACATCTTTCACATATTTACATCAATGCTTCAGGGGAGGGGTTCTCTGTGGAKCAGAAGCTCAGGTGCAGACTGAGCTCCAGGGTGGAGCTTTGTGTTAGTAGGTGGTGCCTTGTACCAGCAAGTGTTTAGGCAGCTCCAAATAACTACCACAGGAGATTCAAGGACTTCACAAACATGCATGAATGAGTCAAAGCAACGCTCTGGACATGTTTTTGATGAGGAAATGAGGTAACAATTTAAAAGTCAAAAAAATTTCATTTTGCACAATACCACACCCTTTAAAAATGTTTATGTGGTGCAAAACATTATCTAATAAATATTTCCATCACCYACAGTTTTGCATTATATGTGTTTCCAAAATGCCCCTGGCTGCACAAGAAGTGCTACAGATAACTGCTGCTATGTGAATCAGCACAGAGCTTGATGTCAATAAATGTGTAACTGAAAACTAATGCAGAACTTCACACTGGCTTCCAATTCAACATATTCTCACAAGTTTAAGAAAAACATTTAAAATGCACTTTATAATTATAAAATATCTTTTTTAAGTTTCTGTTCACATGAAAATTACTGGGCATAAAAAYCATTTGAAACTGCCATGACAGAGAGGATTATCAGCTTTCAGAGGTAGAAAAGTTCCTATTAGGAGGCTGGAGGAGTTTTAGTGGAGTGCAGTTAACCAGACCATTCAAGTTTGCACCGTCACCTAGTACTTTATACTGTACTTAYACTTGAGTTTTAAACTTCACTTTACTTTGCACTCATTTAAAGATGCAAAGAAGAGGATTAGGGCCACAGAGCAAAATATATTTTTTTTCCTGAGTTTTGACTTTTTTCTCAGAATTCAAAAATACAAATAACTACAAGAGACATTTAGATTAGATTTAAGCACATGTGTAGATTTACAAATTTTATAAGACCACAAATACTCATATTTTATCAATTTATGAAATGTCCCATGAGCCTTTGCTGCCTGGCATAAGCATGTGTCAAACTTTCTTCAAGTACACAGGCTTAAAAAAAAAAAAAGGTGGCTACACTGGTTGCTAGCTTAATCAAACAAAATAAAGGACTTAAAAAGTATTGACATTTTGTTTATCATATTATTGCATTATCATTATTATTATTATTATTATTATTAGTAGTAGTAGTAGTAGTAGTAGTAGTAGTAGTAGTAGTAGTAGTAGTAGTAGTAGTAGTATTAGTATTATTGCATGGGCCGAAGTCCTCGGATAGATTTTCATTTTGGCGCTCTTGGGGAAAAAGTGTGGCCACTTGTATGACAAGATGCATTTACTCTGATACAGAAACCCAGTGTTAAATAAAATTTCGTCTGCGCAGTCCAACACAGTACTATGCCAACAAGGCCACAGTAGGCCAGCGATGATCATTTTAAAGGGCTTATCAAACCCCATTACACACACCATATATCCATTTATTTGATCTGTGAATAAACTTTACTGAGGAGGATGCCCATTTTGTCCTTGGTCTAATGGTGTAAGCTGATGGAGTCACAGCCACAGAGACTATAATGTCCCTGATGTATCATGTTCTCCTCTCGCCTCCTCGGCACACTGGGACTGTAGAATCTATACGCTGTGTAAGGTCACCGGCGTGACTCAACTGTGGGTTCGTTTCAAGGAAACGACCCGCAGACATTTAAAAAGTGCCTCTAGGCTTCTGCAAACATCCAGGCTGTGATTGAAATGAATCATTTTGACAACACACCGACTGCTTTTTTTTTTTTTTTTTTTGCCACATTTGTCTTTTGCGTCACCCCTAACATTATTCAAAGTCAAACTTTTGGAGGAACTTTTCTTATACAGTTCAAAATAAAAGGTAAGACATCTGAAAGTTATCCTGAGCATTTTAAATTGACCTGGTCCATGCCCACATGTCCAAAAACTGTTGGTCTCTAAAGTGAGAACAAGAAAGAGGAGGTTGATTTTTTTTTACATAGGTTAGCATGCACAGCATATATCTGAGCGACTGCAATGAGATGGAAAGAAATCCCTGTCACTTTCTGCGCTCTTATCTGTACTCAGTGGAGGTATTTAGCCTGACAAGGTCTTGTTTGAAAGCAAATTATATTTTATACATATTCATGATTCCCAATATCCTTTGTGTGACCTCTGAGTTGCTAAATCATCTGCACACACACACACACACACACACACACACACACACACACACACACACACACACACACACACACACA